AGCCCTTGTGACGTGGTTATCAGGGGTGGATAAAGGGGGTGTTAACGTTAGCGTAACTACTGCTTTCTTGTCCGAAACTTAAATGAAAGAATGGTGTCATTTTGTTTATGTCTTTCTTTTTCAGATTGTGGAAGTTGGTCAGCCTACTGATGGGCAGAAAAAAGCAGAAAAAATCAAAGCTTCGTTTCAAAATCCTTTTCAAAAAGTTCGTTGTCGCTACTATTATCAAGTTCCTGTGTCGTTCTATAATTTTTGAAATATTTATCAATCTAAGTGATGTTTATTACAGCTGATGAATTTTTTTGCAGTTCCTTCCGGTGAAAAGCCGCTCGGAGACAACAGAAGGCCATGCTGTTGTTGGTGACCTGCAGAGTGACGAACAAACGCGCAGGGTGGGTACCCTGTGTTAGAAGTAACCCCGTCCAAACAAACTTTGAGCCTTTTAAATGACCTTTTTAATTTACTTGAGTATGGACCACAGCAAATAATTTGCCCTTAGCTCTGTTTAGCACTTAACACCATAAAGTGAAGGCATTTATTGCAACGATAGAAAGGTATATTGCAAAATAATCACGAAATCTTCCTTTGAAATACATTTTTCTCAAGAGGAGTTATTTCTGCTGCCACTTTTATCCGCACTTTTCTCAGTCATTACAGAGCAAGCTTTGTTTACTTCAATTCCCATCCTACACTTTCTATCTTTCTTCGGTGATTTGGCCTGGTATCCTCGCATGCCAAACTTTTCTTAATCCTACCTTCCATCAGATAAACCAGCAGTGGAGACAAGCAACACAACTTCAATCTTCATCCACAATATCAGGTAATCGGTTTTTTTAACAGGGATGATGTTATAGACAGGAAACAAAAAGAACATAAAGAACATACCTTGTTTTATTAGCGTTATTAACAGTTCATTTTGGTCCAGATTAGCGAAGCATGTGCATTTGTTTATAATGCTTTGTTTTGTTTTGTTTTTTTTTTCTGTTCAGAACCGACTGTTAGCCAGAAGCGTTCTCACACAGAGAACGGAGACACGCCCGAGGACTTGACACCTCTGAGAGACAAAGTAAGTGCATTTATTGATTGACAGATTAAATTTTTCGTTACTAATCACAATACATCTAAATTACTCGATAAGGCTTCTAGTTGAGAAGTTATTTCACGGTTTTTCGGTTTTTTCACGTATATGTCTGATTTTTTTGTGTACCACTAGACAACTGAAAAGTCTGCTAAAAAGAAAAGAAAAAGGGAATCTGGAGACTCCTGCTCATCCATGTCTCATTACAATAAAGACGAAGAAATGTCTCCTTCACATGATTCAGTTTCTCAGCCTGGCAGAGAGTTTGTGCCTTTCAACTACTCAGATGTGGACTATTTAACATTTTTAGGTAAGAACAAATACGGCTAGAATGACTTTTTAAACGAAGTTATGTTAGTTTATTCCTCAGTTTAAATACATAAGTATCATATTAATCCCTGCTTCTTGCAAGTAATTTAGGCTAGTTTATTCCACAGTTCAAACACATAATTATTACATTTATCCCCGCCTTTTGCAAGTAATTTATGTTAGTTTATTCTACAGTACAAATACATGATTATCATATCAATCCCAGCGTTCTGCGAGTCACCAATACACGTTCATTCAGTGGCAGCCCTCAGTTGGTCTAATGGCTCATTTGGTCAATAAAAGCGTTGCAATGGTATCACAGGACATTCTTGTTAAAGGAGTGGGTTTATGGTGATCAAAGATTTAATGATTGTTTTGTTATCAGGAGATACTCAAAAGGATTCGAGGGAAAAGGCAGTCGTTTTCAATCCCTATAACTCTTCGAAAGACTCCAAAGTAAGTAGCGATGATACAAATTATAATGAGAATGTATTATTATTTATTTTTTTTCATTCGCTGAAAGTACTTCTTTACTTCTAGTGAATTCTTTGGTAGCGTTTGGTTGTAAATCGATTATTCATTTGTTCCATATTTCTTCAACAGTCAAATGGTCCTCGATCCAAAGTGCACATGAAATCGGGACACAGAAGTTTAACGTTTTCTTCCAAAAAGTAAGTAATCTATGATTGTTCTTTTGAGTAGAGAAACAGCTTATGCCATAACTTGAAGTAAAATTGAACTCCCCCAATTGAACAGACTTTGTCGCTATCACGTATGTTTTTTAAGGTCCTCCACGTGAATGGAACTTTGTATAGTAATATTCTTGTATTTTTTTCTTCAGTTTTCTTTTAAAATCTCCTCCAATGTAGCCTTTTGTGAGCTTAATACAGTGTACTTCCCATTAGTTACGAGAGGTGTTTTTGATAGAGGGCTGTTGCTGCTTTTTTTCTCGAAATTGAGTCGGAAGTTCACGAAATGGTTGCAAGTTATTAAGACTGTGCCCTGCGATCCTCTATGGAAACAGGTATGACACAGTGGTAATAGCCTTTGGCAGTAACTCGAGGTTGATTCCCGGAATTAGCGTCACATTTAGTTTAATTTGCTGCCAGCCTCACCCCATATCCTCCTTTTATTTTTCATACCCAAAAATTCTAAAATTCAATTGGACCTAGAAACAGAGTGCGAGGAGCCACCTTATGGCATTGCCACCAATGGCCCTCCGCTTTGATTTCTTCCTGATGCAGATTTAAATTGCCCATGGTGGAAGAGTTCTGACTTGCAATGTTGTGCTTTGCACTATTACAGGCCTTCAAGTCAGAAGCAGAAGTGGCCTCGAAGATGACAGCAGTTAAGCCCTGACTTCAAGAGGAGAACTTACAATTATGCTTGTTTTGAAATAATTTGTGCCAGCTTTTGGACTGATTTTACGGAAATAGTAAATTTTAAATCTTGTTCGAAGCTGATTTTGCTCAATTTCAGGCACTTTTTCTATGAATTCTTATCGTTTTTCGGGGAGTGAGGAAATTGATTTTATTGAAAGACACCAGATTTTACTACTGAAGGGCCGTACATGGTTACCTCTTGATAAACCAGAATTTTACGAGCGATTTAAGATAAGTCGATTTAACCAATTCTATTCCTATGAGAAATCCATTCCAAACGATTTTAGAAATCTTTTGTTGCATTAAGCAGTAGTACATTTTACCTGTCAAATCGAGTGCTTGTTAGACTGGGGAGAGGGGCTTAATTACACCAAGTTACTCGCGCTATACTAAGACACTTGCCAAGTGTGTGTTGTGTAATTGTTTGTTTTTATCACGACGCGATAATTTGAATAAACTGTATGGTTTTCGAGCCCTATGATTGTAGCCGGTTAGCCAATCGGAGGATAGAGAAACCATTTCCAGCTTCTTAGGTGAAGCACTAAATAGGAAGGAATTCCATTTTTCCCTTAGTCCCACTTTTTTTTTAGAAAACTCGCAGATAATAATACACGTTTTACTTCCAATCTTTGCTACAATTCCCAGAGCAACGCTATTTGAAAACATCATCATAATCGTGCTGTAATACCAATATCTATGAGTTATCAACCATGCGTGCTATCAAGATTTCTGGATATTGGGCGAGTTCTTTTTGGGCATTTTTATGGACCGATACGAAGTCGAGGCCCTTAAAAACGGACAAAACGAGGAACGAAGGTAATGTCCAGCCATCTTGACTGAACAACTTTGGTCAATAAAGGATTTATTATATCGCAAAGAAGATTTCGCTTTATTAAGAATCAAGAATTACTTGTGGTATATTATATTATATATATATATATATATATATATATATATTATATTATATTATATAGTGGTATTTAAACCCGCGACAGTTGTTTATGTTTTGTTTTTTTTTTAATTGTCTTCTGTTTTTTTTATTTTATTTTAACTGTCTTCTGTCGCTTTTTGTGACTCCATCATCGACGCAATTAACACATTGCATCTGACACTGCCAGTGATATAATGAACCCTGAATCACGTGATTGTTTTATTTAATATTTATAAGGCTGTCGAGCGATAAAGAAAAAAACAAGAAATGAAGCCTATGATTTCTTTGTTGTTGTATTTTTATGTGGGGAAGAAAGTTTCTCATAGAACCATTTTCAGTCACAAAAGATCTAAGTAAACAAAAACACTTGAGAAGTGAAGTTGAATGTTAAGTCATCAAAGTAAATTAATTAGAACGAGATTTAGGTCTTCGTTGTAGACTAAAGTTGGTTGTCTGAAAAAATGGAGTATCTTCCCAATATTGACTCTTTCAATTTCTATGACAGATGAGATCAGTCTGATTACAAATGTAAGTGCAACTGAGTTATGCAGTATTTAGACAGCATGGATATTTCTAAATCTCCTTTCTTAAAATTTTACACATGCATTACTGCTGAACTGAAAGTTATTAAACTACTTTATTACATCGAACATGCTAGAAAATTGCTAAGTTTCACGTTCTCGTTCTCGTAATTAGTTTATGTGAAGCCAAAGGAGCTAGGGTGTCTATTTATATACAAGATAACTAACTATTATCCTAATATATAATGCATGTACATTACACTACTGTTACCAGGGTAACCTACTTAAAACTGACTAATCCAATTACGAGAAATCCCATGTAAATTATCCGTCATATCTGTTTGCATCGGCCTTGGACATTTATTAGCTAAGTAGCATTAATTTGAAGTCATTGTTCATTTTCTATAATGTCATTAGTTAATTTTGTCTAAATAATCCTAGCAACAGGCTTGGTACTTCTTATGTTATCAGAATCTGTCTAAATGTCGCTCGGGTATATCTTGATCTCCAACTTAATACTAAATCTTATTTAGGTAACCTGAGTTACACTTAAGTTCCCCGGCATTTCTTTTTCCACCTCTTTACACTATATCAACAAAAGAAAGCTGAAAGGTTTGATTTATCAACCATCAAAGTATTGTAAATTAATCATTTAGGTGTGCCTTGTGCAATGCAAGCTAACGCAGCTAACGCTCATATCTGTCACAGCTTTGTTATATTACTATACTTTTTAACAATATATTTATAACAATATATTTTAACATAGATATTTACTTATGTACATAGATTCAAATTAAGTTCAATGTTGAAGTTCAGGTGAAGGGTACAAAGCGTAAACATCTGTGCATGTCTCACCAGCATTATTGTTCTCGGTAAAATTAGTCAGGTCTTGCCCATACCATATTAGCAATTGCTGTCCAATCGACACAACCAAAGGGGTGGGGAGCAAATTAAACACAAGCGTCGGGGAGTTGACATGAGCACCGTCAAGTTGGTAGCTATAGTCAACACTACCTTTCGCAAACTCAGCAAGTGGAAGAACAGTCTTGTTGGGGTAAGTTATCACCGTCAGTAGTCTATGATTTCTCAAATATGGGTGTAAACATCCCCACTTTGTTGGTCCGTAGTCAGTATCACATGTTACGGTACCTTTTGTATGGACAAGTTTGAAAGTGTAGATTTTACCGGCTTCTTGGATTTGAAAGGATCCGAAGTCGCCATTTTTTGTCCCAAAGCAAACAGGATCGGTGTTGATCTTTTTCCAGTTATCTATTAAGAAAATCGATAGGTTTTAAAAATGATTTTAGCAAGTCAGGTCTAGGAAAGGTTTTGATTGAAATAAAGAGCTTGTCGATAGAAGTTAGAAAAAAATTCTCACTTTGCAATTGTCCAGACAAGATTAGTCAGATTAGTATTTTGCTAAGTATCGCCGCGCGTAAATGGTGTCGAAAATTGCAATTTTCTTGACCAGAAGGACGCCTCATTGAATATGACAAATCTGTGACAGATATGAGCGTTAGCTGCGTTAGCTTGTATTGCACAATTGCAAGCCACACTTAAATGGT